TGATAGAATTATAGCTTCAGGTGAACACCAGAGATTTGCCCAGGTGGGAAAGTCCAGGGTTTTTCCTTTTTGGGGTCCAGATCCCAAAGATAGGGTCTTTTCCTTTTAGGGGTTCATATCCCATCCCCATCATTCCCCCCTCAAACAAATGGGACCTAAATTCTTTTGGGGTAAAGGATGAAGGTGTTGGCTTCTGAAACTGCTTCCTGCTGGCAAGGGGTGTAGAGCTGGAGTCATCCATTCTTTCTCTGGAGGCAGGTAGCATTTTTCATCATGAGTCCTTTGAAATAGCCTCGGATCATTGTCTTGATCAGAGCAGCCAAGTCTTTCATAGTGGTCACGGCTAGGACGTTGCTGTCACTCTGCACAATGTTGCCCTGGTTCTGCTCACTTCACTTTGCATGCCTTCATGTAAGTCTTCCTATCAACTTGACCTTACCAACCTTATCGTACATTATTCCCTTACCAGTTCATATAAGTCTTGCCATGCTTTTTCTGAAACCTCTTCCCTTGTCATTTTTTGTAGAACAATAGTACTCTGTCACATGGTACCTCAGAGTTGTTTTATTTTGCCTTTCTTTAATCAATAGCCATTTAAAGCATTTTTCGTATGACTATAGATAACTTTGATTTCTTCTTCTGAAACTGCCTGTTCATATCCTCTGACTATCAACTGGGGAATGGCTCTTATTCTTATAAATTTGACACAGTTCCCTAAATATTTGAGAAATGAGGCCTTTATCAGAGAAACTTGCTGTAAAATTTTTTTTGATATTACTTCACTGTCTATGGCACCTTTTTAGCAAAACATAGCTTCCCTGATTATCTTTTTCAATTAGGTCTATTTTTAGGTTTCTATACCCCACTGAGTGTGTGTGTGTGTGTGTGTGTGTGTGTGTGTGTGTGTGATTCCTTCTTTGAACCAATTCCATTAAGAGTGAAATTCAAGCATTGCCTGCCACTGTCCTCATTTTCCCCTCCACTATAAAAGCTCTCCCCTGCATGCTTCCTTTATGTGAGAAAATTTGCCCCATTCTACCTCTCCCTTCTCCCTTCTTTAGTGCATTCCTCTTTTTCACCCTTTAGAGATCATCCCAACATGACTGACTCACACCTTTGTCCTCTGTCTATTCAGACTCCTTCTAACTGCCCTGATAATGATAAAGTTCTTATGAGTTACATGTAGCATCTTTCCATATAGGAATATAAACAGTTTAACCTTATTGAATCCTTGTGATTTTTCTGTCATATTTACCTTTTTATGCTCTTCTTAAGTCTTGTGCTTGAATATCAGGTTTTCTATTCAGCTCTGGGCTTTTCATCAGAAATGCTTAGAAGTCTTCTATTTCATTAAATATCCATTCCCCACCACCGCAACCCCTGCCTGAAGAATTATACTCAGCTTTGCTGGGTAGGTGATTCTTGGTTGTAATCCTAGGTCTTTGGCCCTCTGGAATATCATATTCCAAGCCCTCTGATCATTTAATATGGAAGCTGTTAAATTTTGTATGATCCTAAAAGTGGCTCCACGATATTTGAATTATTTCTTTCTGGCTGCTTGCAACATTTTCTCTTTGACACAGAAGCTTTGGAATTTGGTGATTATATTTTTCAGAGTTTTCATTGTGGGATCTCTTTTAGGAGGTGATTAGTAGTTTCTTTCAATTTCTATATTACTCTCTGGATGTAAGATATCAGGGAAGTTTTCCTTGATAATTTCCTGAAATATGATGTCTAAACTCTTTTTTTTATGTGTGATCATGGCTTTCAGGTAGTACAATAATTCTTGATTTATCTCTCTTTGATCCATTTTCCAGGTCAGTTGTTTTTCCAATGTCACATTTTCTTCTATTTTTTCATTCTTTTACTTCATTTTATAGTTTCTTGAAGTCTCATGGAATCATTAGTTTCCACCTGCCCAATTCTAATTTTTAAGGAATTATTTTCTTCAGTGAGCTTTTGTACCTCTTTTTCTATTTGAGCAATTCTGCCTTTTAAGGAGTTTTTTTTGTGCCTTTTTTTTAAACCGTTAGCCAATTCTATTTTTTTAAGGTGTTATTTTCTTCAGTATTTTTGTGCTTCTTTTGCTAAGCTGTTAATTCTTTTTTCATAATTTTCTTGCATCACTCTCATTTCTTTCCCCATTTTTTTCCTCTACCATTCTTGTCTTGTTAAGCTTGGGTCCTAACTAGCATTTTTCCTTGAGGCTTTGGTTGTAACTATTTTTTTCATTCTTGTCTTCTTCTGAGTTTATGTCTTGGTCTTCACTGCCACCATAATAGCTTTCTATGGTCAAGTTCTGTTTTTGTTGTTTGCTCATTTTTCCAGCCTGTTTCTTGACTTTTAACTTTATGCTAAAGTTAGTTGGGGAGACCCTGTCCCAAGCTTCAGGCATTATTGCGCTGCTGTTTTCAGAGCTAGTTCTGGGGGTCTGTGAGTTTTGGGAGTTTCTAAGGTGGTGTGATTCAAGGAGAGGTGTGGTCTCCTGTGCTTTGGTCTTTACCCAGGAAGGACCCTGGTCCCCTGCAGCCACAAGTACTAATGCTCCTCTTGGCCCTGGAACCGTGACCAAGATCCCTGCTCCCTTGTGACTGATCACAAGTGCTCCTTCCCTCCCTGGAACTATGACCCAGAACTGCTCATGGGCAATAGAGCTGCCAGCCAGCGCCAGCTACACCCAGTGCCAGTAAAGGGCTCCTCGAATCTCTTTCTGACCAGTTGCACAACCCCCTTTCCATCTTTGGTCTTAAAGCTCTCAAAGCTGCTGCTTCTACTCCTGTCATGGTGTTGCTGCCTCGCCCTGGGCCTGCATCCATCCCGGTGGCATAGAACTCTCCTCCAAGAACTCCGAAGTTGTCTTAGCCTGGAAAAATGTCTCCCTCTGACCTTCTGTTGGCTCTGCTGTTCTAAAATTTATTTGAGGCATTATTTTAAAGTTATTTGGAGGGGAATGTTGGGAGAGTTCCGCTGGGTCCCCTCCTCTATTCCCCTATCCTGCTCTGCTCCTCCTCATATTGATTTTGTAGTTATTTTTATATCTACTTATATATCTCCTCTATTGGAATGTTAGTTCCCTGAAGGCCAGGCTGGCTTCATTGTTGTCTTTACATGCCCTGTGCCCAGCCCAGTACTTGGCATAGCAGAGGCACATAATACATGCTGCTGAGTAATGAATGGTCCTCCTGTCAAGCTGACCAGCCTGTCTTTTTCAAAAAAATCCCCCACTCAACAGGACAATGCCATTCCCTATTACTTTAAGTTCTAGGCACTAGCCTCCCACCCTAGATAGGCACTGTGGTACAGCAGAGAGTGCTGAACCTGCTGTTACCTGATGGACATGACTTTGAATCCCACCTCAGCCACTTACAACCTGTGTGACCTTGCTCCGATTTTCCTGGCCTTGATAGTCTCCTCTGTAAAATGGGGGTGGGGGTGGAGTACACTGACTGACTTTTGAGCTCCCTTCTAACTCTAGACCTAGGCTCCTATGATTCTACTCTGTAAAAGACCTGTTCCAGATGGAAACCGGAGAAACAGGAAGGAAAGCTTTTTTTTTCTTTCCAAGGCTTCATATTTATGGAAACTGAGGCTCAGAGTGACTGGCCTGCCAGGTCACACAGCCAGTGAGCATCAGAACTCAAACCAGCCTCCAAATCTGACACTCTTTTCTCTATGCCACATGTGAGTGGAGGTGATTGCTTTCTGTATGTGATGATTTGAAAAGCACCCTGACCCCAGCTGCTTACCAGAGTGCCTGAAATTCCCCCGTTAGAGAGTCATTCCTTTGGCTTCAGAGTTGTTTCTCTAGTAGTCCCCTTTAAAAATACGACTATCCTTGTACCATTATCATCAAGGTGTTAATGGATTAGTTTGTGAGGCAATAGCTGCAGCCTGCAGGGTGACTGAAGAGGGTGCCACCAGGAATTGTTGGGGAGGCAAGAGGGACGGGAGAATGGCGCCCAATGGAGGTACCCCAAACGACCAGGCGCCAAGATGAGGGCGCAGGGCCCTTCCTGTTCTACTCAGCAGCCGCCTCTTCAGCATCGCCCATGAAGGGTCCGTGGGCCTCTGCCGGACACTCCCAGGGACAAGAAGGTTTATGTGACCAATCAGTCAGAAATCAAATGTGTTAGGTGCCGGTGATACAAAGCCTGAAATGAAGCATCAGACCTGGACGGATTCTGGATTCTGCAGCCAGAATACCTGGGTTCCTGCCCCCAGGCTGGGCCCCCACTGCCACCCCTCGGACTCCTGGACTGAGATCCAGCGACCGCCTCCTGCCCCTTCCTCCCCTTTGCTGTTAGGAGATGGTGTCTGTAAATCCAGTGGGATCCTAGCACTGCCCTTGGCAAGAGGGTCAGAGATTCAGAGTCAGAGGGGACCTGGGAGGTCATCCCAAACGGTCCCTCCATTTTAAAGATCGAGAGACCGAGGCACAGTGGATTGGGGGGGGTGTGAAGTGACTTGTCCGGGTCCTACGACTAAGAAGTGTCTGCGGCGGGAGGTGGACCCAGCTGTTCTTGACTCCCAGAGCACACTCACCATGATGCTTCTCAAAATACAAATGATGCATGTATGAACATGTTCACACAGACACGTGCACATACATGTTCATGCATGCACACGTGACCATAGATGTACACAAACACATGTGTGTTGTATACAAGCATGCATGTGTGCACAAACACGTGTGTAAGCATATGCGTGTATATTTGTATATGGATATCCATATTTTACAATATATGTACATACACAGAGCAATACACACACACAAGCTATTGTTATTTCTCAGACTGTGTTTAAAGTCACTTCACCTTCCTGAGCCTCAGTTTCACCCTTTGGAAGATGAGAGGATTGCCTCAGAGGACCTCTGAGCTCAGGATCTTACGAAAGCCTAACGAGAGGGAATAAGGCGCCTGGCCCTTTAAATGGGGGCGTGGTTGGAGCCGCCCAGGGAGGAGGAAGAGAAGAGAGGAGGAAGAGAAAGCGGAAGCCGCCGGGGGCGCTCTGCGCATGCGTGCTTAGGAGGGGGCGGGGTTCCTTGGCCCGTGACCGGAGAGAGGGCGCAGGTAAACAGTCCTGAGGGAGACCAGAGACTGGGGAGGCGTGCAGGGGGCGGGGGGGGGGAGCGCGCCCGGGGGGCGGTGCGGGGGGGGAGGCAGCGCGGCGGCCCGGGGGCTTCCCGGCTTCCGTACCAGGCCCCGGCCGGTCCGCGGGCGGGAGGAACGCGGAGGCTGCGGGTCTGGCCGGGCCGGCGGCGTTCCTGCCCTCGGGCTGAGAGAGGGGCGCCGGGCCCCTCCCCAGGTTAGAGGGGGGCCGGGGGCGGGGAGCGGCTCCCCCCCCCGGCGGGGTCCTGCCCAGGGCGGGAGAGGGGCGGAGAACCTCCTGGCGGCCCCGCGGTAATGAGCCTCCTGTGCAGGTAAGGATGATGGCAGATAGTGAGCCTCCTGGTGTTCTTCACTCTCCTTGGAGCAGATTGAGGGTCAGTCCTGCCTAAGAATTCAGGCATCTACCCTGTGGCTGTTAATTCTTGCCTCGATCTTGGGCCTACGAGACTGATCCTGGAGATAGGGTGATGCTCAGGAGAAGGAAGAAAAGCTCCCTTCCATGGTATCATTGGTGCAGGGAACTTCCATTGTGGAAACTCCTTCCACCAGTTCAGGGGCACACCTTCTCCAACTTTTACTGCAGGAGAGGGACCTGCCTGGGGACCCTGGAGAGGCCAAGTGACCTTCCAAGGGCCTTATCAGCCTGGGGCCAGACTCAGGCCTCCGGCCTCTCCCTGGACTGCTTTTCTTTGGTGAAAGCCTAGGGCCAGGCCTGGAGTCCCTGTTTGTCCCAGGCTGGCCGGAGGATCCTGGCGCATCTAAGGGTGTTGTTGGCGTTTCCTGGGGGCCGTGTGTAAAAAGCCATTTTTCGTCCCAGGGGTACACAGAGTCATCAATTGTGTGTGAGTGAATGAAAAAGGAAGCCTTTTGGCCGTCCTGTTACACTCCCCCCGGCAGACCCGTATTGGGTCCAGTTCCAAGCCCCCCATGGGAGGGAAGGACGTGGATGGGCTGCAGGGCTGCTGCATTTCATCCTCGATTCCACAGAGAATTAGGTGAGGGAGCCGATGGCACCTGTGCCGTGGGAGGGGCTGACTCTTCTCATCAGAGACTCCCAGTGCAGATTGTGCCTTAGATGAAGCTTTTCCTGGAGAACTGCTAGGATCTCCCACCTTCCAGCATGGATTTTTGTGTGTCTCTGGGGTCTCAGTCTGTGTTTCTTGCACCCAGAGACCTCCTTTTTTCCTAGTCCTGGCACTTAGGGAATCCCTGATGAATGCTCACTGACCCATCTCACTTGCCCATGGTCACACTAGGATTTGCACTCAGATCTTTGATGTCACTCTCCTCCTGACGGTGTCTTTTCTTCTGTTAAATGACATCAGTAATACCTGCTTCCCCATGTCCTGAGCTAGCCTGATGTTCTTTCTTCCAGATCTGGAGCTGGAAGGGACCGTAGAAGCATGAGTCTCACTCTAGCTGAGGAAACTGAGGCCCTTGGAAGGAGGGGAGTGGCCTGCCCTGGAGGGAAAGGGTGCTGGGCAAGGTGTCAGGTGTACAAAGCTGGAGTGAGACAGCCCCAATTCTTAGGCGGTGTGCGGTCAGAGGATCCAGGAAGGCCTCCTTGTGGAGGAGGAAGTGATGGGGCAGCTCCCATTCTTTGCAGTTTACAGAATGCTTTTAAGCAATTCTCTTTATCCTGGCATGTCTGGCAAGCAGTGCAACTGAGACATGGTCCCATTTTAGAGATGAGGAAACAGATTCAGTGAGGGCAAACGAGAGGGATGGAAGACATAATTTCAGCAGTTTTTCACACTATTTCAGGCTGTTGAGTGGGGTGGTCGAGAGAGAGCCCTTGGGCCAAAAAGCAGGGCTAGTGTGGGCAAAGGCAAGAGGTGGTGTTGATGGCAGGAATAGGCCTAGATAAGCCAGCTGGTGAGTCAGTAGTGTTATGACCACACGTGTGCATGTGCTTGTGTGCGTGTTGTATGTGCGTGTCTGTCTTTGGCATGGCCTGTGATCAGAGGTGTTGGCCTGGTGTGTGCCCTGACTCATGTTCTTGTCTGAATGGGGATATGTTTGTATGAGGATGGCTGGGGGCCAGCCGTGGGGGCCTGTCGTCAGGGAGGCTGAGCTCCTGTGGTGTCTGCACTGAGTCTGGCACCAAGATGGTGGAGCCGAGGACCACCCAACGAGACCGCCTTGGGAGGGCCCACAGACAGAGCAGGCTAACGCTTCCGTGCCTGCCAGCCAGCAGTGGGATCAGGCCCGTGAGAAGCCATGGCCCTTCTTAGAGCAAGAGCATGATGAGATGGCGCCCTGGGGAAGTTCAGGAAGCATCTGATCGCTGGGTATCTGGATGGTTGGTGAAGGCAGTGAATGTGAATGGACCCCTGAGCCAAGTGCTGGTGTAGTGGAGACAGTGGAACCGGTGATGATGTTGGAATCAGGACCTAGGTTTGAATTCTGACTGTCCCTTGCTTGTGCCAGGCCCTGAATGCCAGCATAAAGAGTTAATGCTTCATGTAGTTGGCAGCGGGGAGCCCCTGAAGGCCTTTGAGAAGGGGAAGGACGTGGTATTTCATCCCCGTCACTCTTCCCCATTCTCTTGGTCTGCCTATGATTCTGTCCCATCCCACAGCCCTTACTTTCCTTGGCTTGGCCCTCTGGCCCCACTACCTGCCCCCGGACCAGTTTCCATTTTTGTCCTGCTCTTCTGTTTCCCTCTGGGCCAGCCCGCAGCCCCCACAAGCTCCATTCTTCACGGGGAGATGAACGGATGCTTCCAAAGGAGGTGATGAAGCTGCGTCAGTGGCTGCGTGCCCTTCACAGGGTCACTGACATTCAATTGTCCCGTTTGTCTCCTCTTGACTCTCTCTTACTCTCCCCAGCAGCTGCTCCAGGCCAAGCCTTTATGCCGGAAGTCTTCGACTTGACCCCCTTCCTGTACATGACCTCTCCTGCTGCCTAGGCAGCCCAAGGTGAGTGTGGAGGAGTTATGTGGGAGCTGGAGGATGAGATCAGGGAAAGGGGGCTTCCCAAGCAGGCCTTGATTCCAAGAGTATGATGGGAACAGTCTTTGGCCTGGCCTCCTAGCCTGTAGTCACCTTCCCTTATAATTCACTTCTTCACATCTCTGCCAAAATGTTCTATCCCATGCCCACTTCTGATCACCATCCCCCATGGCTCCCTGCAGCCTGCTGAATAGAGAAGTGCCTTGTTAGCCTGGCATTCAAGTCCTTGTACAGTCCACTTTTAACTTACTTTCCCAACTTTATGACATTTCCCTTTATGCACCCCCGCCTAGTCCAGCTGGACTTCTCACTGGCCCCTCATCCTAACTCCATGTCTTTGCACATTGCCCCAAATGGGTCTCCCCATTGCCTACCGTCTTCTTTCTACTTCTTTAAGACCCAGCTCTTGTGCAGCCTTCTCTAACTGCCTCCTCCCTCAGGCCTCCTAGCCTTCTTTGTTTGACCTCTCCAATAGACTGAATGACTTTCTAATTTCTGTTATATGTTTTGTAGGCATGTCTCATCCCTTCCTCGTCCTGAGGGCAGGGCCTATCTTATTTTTCATCTTTTTGTCCCCAGCACCTAGTGCAGTGACTTGCTCATATTAAGAATGTAAATGTTTGTTTAAATTACATTGGTGGCTACTTTCTGGGGGCTTCCAGTCTTGAGTGGACCTTCTGTTTGGGGAGATTTGTGTGAGCAAAGACATGGCAGAGGCTGTGTTCAGGGACTAGAGGGATGGCCATTTGGGGAGCAGATGTTTTTGTGGGATAGCAAGACCTGGAAGGCCGAGTGTGGATTTGGTCCCATATTTAGCAAGGCATCTTTGGGGATCATAGGCCTAGAGCTGGGAGGGACCCCAAAGACCGTCTGGGCTAACCCCTGTTTTTATAGAGTCCAAGGATGTGAAGTGACTTAGGGCACAGACCTCCAGCGAGGAAGGGCCTGAGAAATCATGTCTAAATCCCTTGTTTTCTAGTTGGGGAAATCGAGGCCTGGAAAGATCCCGAGGTGACTTAGGATGCTCAGATGGTAGCTCTGCAGCTGGAGGCCGCCTCATAGGCCATTAATAACCGCCTCAATTTACAGAGGAGGTTGATCGGCCCAGGTCACGCTGGACACAAGGGATGGGAAGGGAAGGTTAGTGGGGGTTGACCTCCCGGTGGCATTTCACCACCTTCCCTCTCGCTGACCCTCATCAACCCACAAGCAAACCTGAGGTAGGGGCGGGGGCGGGGGAGCCTCGGCTGCCAGGGCGGGCAGTGAACAGGGGCGTGCTGTTCTGGCACCAAAGCGTTGTGGGGGAGCCTGGCTTTCCAGCGCTGATGCCTGAGTTCCACGTTCTTGAGCTCTGCCGGGTGTTTGTCTGCCTCGCAGCCTTAGACTGTGTCCTGGGTCCTCGCGGTGACCTCAGTCCCTGAGCTCTTTGCGAGGCCATCGCCCCTGCACTGGCTACACTCTCTCCCTGCCCAATCATGACCCCGTACCAGGTCGTGCCTACACTGGTCTCTTCTGTCCAGTCTCTTGCCCTGCCAGACCCCAGCCTTGGATTCCTGCTGCCATTCATTGCCTTCATTCCTGAGTGAGATGGGAGAAAATCAGGAGGCTGCTGCCTGGGTCCTCTGCAGGTTTACGTTCTGTGATCTCAGCTGGGCCTTGAGTGGGGCCTCCCGGACTGAGTTGCTCTCCCACTCCTCAGCCTTTATCTTTAAAACACCTTCAGCTCCCCTCTGCCACCTTCCTAGTCCACTGAAAACGTGGAAGCTGTTAGCGGAGATCTCCCTCTTCTCCCCTGTCCCTCCTCTCGTCTCTCTTAGCTCAGACCCCTTGTACCCTTCTTTCTTCTTATATCCCTGTCTCACGCAGAGAAAGGCCAGCCCCTTTGCATGCATCTCTCCTCACTGCAATCCATCCCCCCTCAGCTGTCAGAGTGATCTTCCTAATACACGTCTGTAATCACCAGTGCTTCCCTAGAGCTTCCTGGATCAATAGAAAGTCCTCTCTTTGGCATCGAACGTCCTTTGTGGCCTGCACACTCCCTGCCTTTCCACCTCCTCCTCGATGCCGGCACGCCAGCCTCCTGGTTGTTCCGTGAGCAAGACACTCTGCCGCCCCTCCACACCTGATGCTCTCCAGCTTCCTTCAAGTCTCAGCTAAGATTTCTTCTTTCGCAAGAAGGCCTTCCCAGCCTCCTTGGTCACAGCACCTCCCCTCGGTCGATTTTTTCTGTTGTATCCATCCTTTGTCCTCTGCACTTAGGACAGGGCCTGGCATGCGGTAGGTGCTTGCGAAGTGCTGGTTAACTGACTGAAAGAGCCCTGCGAGCAGGACTGACCAGCACCAACGCAGAGTCGGAACTCCTCTGGTCGGTGCCCTTGAAACACTCGAGCTTTTAGCTCATTGAGAACTGGTGAGGTTCTAGCCCCCCGGCATCGAGCTGGCGTGCTGCTGCCTGTCTCTTAGCAGGCACTCTTTGAGATCAGAGACCGGCTTGAGCTCGTTGGCCTCTCTCTCAGGCTGGCTCCATGCCTTTGGCACCATTGGCGCTTTATATTCCTTGTCAGCTGGTTGAAAAAGACTGACCTAAGGAAAGATCAAGATGCCAAAATAAAGTTTGCATCTGGAGTGATTATTTCCTGTGTTCAGGAAAGAACACAGTCAGTCAATAAATATGTTAAGCACCTACTGTGTGCCATGCATTGGGCTAAGCGCTGGGGATACAAAAAGAGGCAAAAGACAGTCCTAGCCCTCAGAGAGTTCACAATCTGTTTTTTTCCTTTATTTTTATTTTATTTTTAAATTTTTTTAAAAGGCATTTGGAGTTAAGTGACTTTCCCAGGGTCACACAGCTAGTAAGTGTCAAGTGTCTGGTCTGAGGCTGGATTTGAACTCAGCTCCTCCTGACTTCAGGGCCAGTGCTCTATCCACTGCGCCACCTAGCTGCCCCCCGAGAGTTCACACTCTAAGGGGGAGATAGCGAGCAAATCAATTTGTACAAACAAGCTATACACTGGACGAAGAGGAAGTAATGAACAAAGGGAAGGTGCTGGAGTTAGGAGGGGCTGGGGAAGGCTTCCTCTAGGAGTGGGATTTGCACTGAACTTAGAAGAAGCCAGGAAGTAGAGGGAGGGCGTTCCAGGCATGGGGGACAGACAGAGAAACCCAGAGCCCAGAGAGAGAGGGTCTTGTTCATGGAACAGCCAGGAGACCAGTGTTGCTAGATTAAAGAGTTTGTGGCAGGTGTGAGAAGACTGGAAAAGTAGGAGGAGGCCGGTCGTGCAGGGCCTTGAATGCCAAACAGAACATTTTGTATTTGTTCCTGGAGGCCATAGGGAGCCTCTGAGGTTTGTTGAGTAGGAGGTGACATGATTGGACTCATGCCTTTGGAAAATTACATCATCAGTATCTGAATGGAAGGTGGATTGGAGAGGGGAGAGAGTTGAGGCAGGCACCGGACCCTCCAGCAGGTGGGAGCAGCAGTGACTTTGTAAAGACCCATTTATGCCTCATAGATCAATCTGATTTCCTTTTTATTACCAAATATTGGGCCTGAAGAGGTTGGGGGACAAAGAGGAAATCAGCCTATCTTTAGCATGATCTTAGTTTTCTCCTGCATGACGTGCTTTTCGGTAGGCTAGGGGCATCACTAATTACAGGGTTGCATTTAAAAATTAAATTATATGTGGTTTGTAAGCCTGAGCAGGAGTAGGGAGGAGGCTGGTGTTCTGAAGGTGTTATCAGCCCCATCAATAGCCACTGTTTCTTAAGCGTTCACATGGGGACATTTCATCATCTACCTGGAGGCTGGAATGAAGCATTCAGTCAAGTGTGAAGGGAGGGATCCGAGCTTCTTGGTAGAAAAGATTGGGATCTTCAAAGGCTGCCTGTGTGGCTTATGCTATGTGAGGAAGGGTTGGCCTCTTGTTTGTTTAAAAAAAAGTGTAAGGAAAAACTACATTGCAGAAATGGATTCTCCTTTATTTTTTAAAAAGAGGGATCAGTTTGGGAGGTAGGTGTCGGAAGAGAAACGACTGGCCAGATGTGAGGGACAAGAGGGCTTGGGTGACCACCCTGGAACAGAGACAGGAACACTGGGCCAGAAAGGAGGAAACTGGGCTGTTTGCCTGTCTCCCTCCCCCCACCCCAAACATACACCAGGAGTCTTTGAGGATTCCCAAGGAGCTCCAGCTCTCAGAGGTCAGTACTGCTCCATCTCCAGGGAATCTCAGAGCCACCTCAAGTTTGGAAATTTAGAGCCGGGGGAACACTGACCCCGAGTGCCATGGCTGGTTGGGTGTTTGGCATGTGGCCTTCTGCCCTCCCTGATGGCTGGTTAGCCAGATGTCATAGCGGTGGGGAGCAGAGGGGCCGGATCATTGAACTTGGATACATACAGCTTTGCGATCAGCTGGCATAGTGCCAGTGTGTTACAGAGCTTTAGGTCCTGTTCCAGGATGGAATAATTGGGGTCCCAGGATCTCAGATTTAGAACTAGAGCAGAGCTGGCACTATTGTCAAGGCAGATCGAGCCTCAGTCTTCCATCTGTTTTTGAAGACACCAAGACCAGCAAATGGGCTGCAGGGGGAAAGATTCCAAGTGACTTCCTGAGGAACCTTGGGTGGGCCCTTCCCACTTGGAGCCTCTTTGTAAAAGGAAAGATTTGGACTAGATGATCTCAAAAGTCCGTCTCTACATCTGTGATCCTTTGACCCTCTTTAAATATTAGGACAAGTTCTGAAGGTCTAACCTCTGGAAGATTTTGTACATAGGATGTCCTGAGGTCTGAGAGCTTAAAGCTGTCCCAAGACTTTTGGGACACTTTGCAGTATAGACAGCCAAGTTTAAAGGTGCTCTAGAAACTGCATGGATTCTTAGCATCCCTTTGTCCATCGCTCTGCCCCCGACAGTGCAGAAATGGAAGGGGCCACAAAGGCCTGAAGGCCCCCCTTTGTGGTTTTTGGTGTTTCATGGACCGCTGTGGCCACAGAATTCCTGCCTCACTGGCCAGCCTGTGTGCTTAGCTGGGCTGATCCCAGGAAAGCAAACTTGGGCTATTGTTGAGACCATCCTTGAACTCTGCCCAGCACAGTAAAGCCCTAAAGAACCTATGGACCTTCAGATATAAAGGCACAGAACTTTACCCATGCCATCCTAGACTGGGAGGGATGTACAGGTGTGTGTGCGTAGAGCTATGTGCATTCTATCTGTGTGTATGAGAAGTATAGAGTATTTATTATTATAAATAATTTGTAACTTACTTTTTTAATGCAACCCTGTAATTAGTTGTGCCCTTAGCCTACTGAAGGATGGTCTTGATAAAGGTGAGTCAGGAGACAGTAATTGCTTTTTCCAATCTCTCCAAGATTAGTTCTCTCTGTCTCCATCTCTCTGTCTCTGTCTGTCTCTCATCCTTTGGATGTTTTTATTATGTATATGCAGATAGGTAAGGCACAGCAGGTTTCTCCATGTTGGAGAGTCATAGCAGCTGTTCAAGTTTCTTTCTGAGGACCAGCTGAGCTAACTACCCCCAGAGACTTGTTGCCAGCCGGCTGGCCCTTGGGGATGAATTCTATGGCCATGGAAGCCCTTGAAACAAAGAACTGCAAAAGGGGCCCTTGGTCCTGTGGGGTCTTGCCACTTGTGCATTGTTGGGGGCAGAATGCTGGGAAAGGGACTGAGAACTTCCAAATCTTGACTTTCTGACTAAGGCAGTGTGTGTGTGTGTGTGTGTGTGTGTGTGTGTGTGTGTGTGTGTTTGTATGTATATGCACATATATGTTTGTCTCAGAATCTTGTAGAGAAGATTCTATACGTTCCCTCTGAACCAGCCTCCTCTTGCAAAGAAGCTCAGAGAAAGGATGGGATGGGACCTGCCCAGGGTCGCCCAGGCACCAAATGGCTCTTCTTTATAGCTACAGTACCCTTCTCACTTCAGCCCTTTTCCTCCTAATGTCTTCAATAGAAGTGAAAAACCTGCTCCCAGCTTCCTAATTACTATCACCTCATTTGTAAAAGGACTAGATGTCCTCCCCCTCCCCCAAGGTCCTTCTCATCTCTAAATCTATGATTCTCTGACTCCAGTCACTACCCTCCAAGGACTGGGGCATACATCTTTTCATTCTGGAAACTTACCTGTCCACCCCATACATGTACACACCCACATAGTCCTGATCAGGCTAGATTAATTAGGTAAAGGTTGGTCTGGAAGTAAGACATTAAAGGTGGGAGAGGGGAAGATGGCAGCTGCGGTACGGCCTTCACTGTTGCCTCCAGAACACTGCTGGTGGCTTCTCCTGGCATGGCCCATCTTTCCTTCCCCTCTGTGATCTCCTATTCACCAGTTCACACACACTGACCGCTTCATGCTTGGTTAGCCTTTAAACCATGTATGTGTAGAGAGGAGAGTGGTTCTGAGGCAGGGAGATAGGGAGGGCTGCACCTGTGCCGGGCTTGGGATTTGTGAGGCCAGGCCAACTTAGAAGGTGTCGATGACTGCCTTGGCCCCTGGGAGAGGGTGGGGCTGCGGGAGTGGCATGGCAACCGAGGAGGGACAGAGGTGGCAAGGCATCTGGGACCATTCAGAGTCCTTATGACTAGAGAAGGTATTGATGACAGTCTGCCTAGAATTGGACAATTGGAAGTCGATAGGCTCCCAGGGTCATAGTTTTAGATGTGGAAGAGACCTTCAAGGCTGTCGAAGCAGACCCTCTTCTGTTAAGGACGAGGAAACCGAGGCCTAGAGAGGGGCCATAGCTTGTAGATGAAGTTACAGAACCTGGAGTCCACTTCTTCATTTTCCAGGTCAGGAAGCCGATATCAACAGACATGTGAACTCAGAGATGTTCAATGATTTGTCCAGGGTTTCCCATTGATTAAGAGGCAGAGATGATATTTGGACCCAAGTCTTCCACTGTTCTGACAGAGGCTTTACGTATCCAACTCATTTGGAATCTAAAAATATAATTGTGTGGTTTCTTTCTTTTCTTTGAAAAAGATCCAAAGAGAGACAGCAGATGCCCTGTCTGGCCCCATCTGGCCGTGGTGTCAGAAGCTGAGATGGCAAGTGAAGTCGGTCCTGAGAGTGAAGAGGCGGCCCCCTCACCCCGAGGAGGGTTTGGGGAAGGCCTGGCCCAGGCCCTGGAGGCTTCACTCCCCAGACTCTCCTACCTGGACCTGGACAAGGACGTGGAGTTCAGAAATGAGCTGGTAAGAGCTCAAGCTGTGGTCGAGAATGACTGTTGATGCAGGGGAGTCCCTGCGTGGAATGCCTCGCCTTTGTAGCTCTTCTGATGAGAGAGGGTGGCTATGTTTCTGTGACCAGAGGAGGCATGCTGGCAAAAAGTCTGATCTTGATGCTCTGGCTTGCCAGTGAACCATGAAAGGCAGCGTGGAGTACTTTCCTGCTGCTCCCATCATATATGAGAGGCAGCACAGTGTAGTGATCAGGGGGCTCCCCTCAGAGCCAGGAAGACCTGGCTTCGAGTCCTGCCTCTGACCATACTGGCTGTGGGACGTGGACAAAGCCCCTGACCCCCCAGTGCCCCAGGAAGCTCTTTAAGACCGAGCTGCGGGCCAGGTGCCAGCCTGCATCTGGGACTTCCCTCTACTGACTAGATCTCTGGGCCGCCCCAGGACTCGGATCGACTCTTCTGCAGAGCTTTCCTGCTGTGGGACGTTGGGAGGTGGGGAGCAAGGTGGAGGGCCAGAGGGCTCGCCGCTTACCTGCCAACGGATTACCGGTTGAGTATCAGGATGGCAGAGGGGCTGCCGGCCTTGCTCCTGACCCAGTGCCCGGGGTTACTGCCATTGCTTGAGCCTGCAGAAAGCTGGCAAGGCAGTCCAGTCTGTATCTGGGATTAGGAGGTCGGATCCCTTGGCCGGTCGCCGCCCTAGCCCGAGTCAGTTGTAGAAGAGCCGTTGCCTGACTTGGCCGCCCATCTGTTTTTACCTTCTAGATCGACGACAAGGAGTTTGATATCCCTCAGGTGGACACCCCTCCCACCCTAGAAAGCATACTCAATGAGGTGGGTGACGCTATGTCTGTCCTTTGAACTTTGATTAGCGCTTTCCTGCGATCGGGCTTGAATGTCTCGTGCTTTGATTCTCTGAGTGCTTCCAAGACTCCCATGATTTGTCTTAGTTACAACTGCTACCAAGAAGCTGCTGAGAGCATCATCGATCTCTTTCCCTGTTCAGAACAGCCGGTATGTAGGTGAACGCTCAGGTGGTGGAAGAGGTCAGTTTATTCCATTGATATAGGTGCCTCCTAAGAGTGTAGATTAGGGAGTCTAGAAACTTGCAGTCCTTGAACTCATTTTTTGTTTTGTTTTGGGTTTTTTAATATAAATTTATTTATTTTTAGTTTTCAACATTTACTTCCACAAGATTTTGAGTTCCAAATTTTCACCCCATCTCACCCCTCCCCCCACCCCAAGATGGCATGCATTCTGAATATCCCTTGCCCTAGTCTGCCCTCTCTTCTGTCTCTTCCCCCCTCCTCTTATCCCCTTCCCCTTCTGTTTTCCTGTAGGGCAGGATAGATTTCTGTACCCCATTTCCTGTATTTCTTATTTGCCAGTTGCATGTGAAAACATTTTTTTTAAACATGTGCTTTTAAAACTTTGGGTTCCAAATTTTCTCCCTTCCTTTCTCCCTACCCACCCTCATTAAAAAGGCAAGCAACTCAATATAGGTTATACATGTGCAGTTATGCAAAACACTTCCATAGTAGTCATGTTGTGAAAAACTAACTCTATTTCCCTTAATCCTATCCTGCCCATTCTATTCTTTCTTCTGACCCTGTCCCTCCTCAGAAGTGTTTGCTTCTGATTACCCCCTTTCACAATCTGCCCTCCTCTCTATCATCCCCTGCTCTCTTGTCCCCTTCCCCCTATTTTCCTGTAGGGTAAGACAGATTTCCATACCTAATTGAATGTGTATGTTATTCCCTCCTTAAGCCAAATCCTGTAAGAATAAGATTCACTCATTCCCTCATCTTCCCCTGTTTCCCCTCCACTGTAAGACCCTTTTCTTTTCTGTTTTTTTTTTAGAGATAATTTACCCATTCTACCTCTCCCTTTCCTCTTCTCCTAGTATAATCCTCTCTCATCCCTTAATTTTATTCTCCGTATATAACCCCTTAATCTTCAACTCACCCTGTGCCCTATCTATCTATCTATCTATCTATCTATCTATCTATCTATCTATCTATCTATCTTCTATCTATCTACATACATATAATTTTTCCCTCTCCAACTACCCTAATACTGACAAAGGTCTCATGAGTTATAAATATCATCTTTCCATGCAGGAATGTAAACAGTTCAACCTTAATAAGTCTCTTATGATTTCTCTTTCCTGTTTACCTCTTCATGTTCCACTTGAGTCTTGTATTTGAAAGTCAAATTTTCTATTCAGCTCTGGTCTTTTCATCAAGAATGCTTGAAAGTCCTCTATTTCACTGAATGACTGTTTTTTTCCCCTGAAGGATTATACTCAGTTTTGCTGGGTAGGTGATTCTTGGTTGTAATCCTATCTCCTTTGCCCTCTGAATATTATATTCCATGCCCTGGTCCTTTAATGTAGAAGCTGCTAAATCTTGTGTTATCCTGATTGTGTTTCCACATACTTGAATTGTTTCTTTCTGGTGCTTGTAATTTTTCTCCTTGACCTGGGAACTCTGGAATTTGGCTACAATATTCCTAGGAGTTTTCCTTTGGGGATCTCTTTCAGGAGGAGATCGGTGGATTCTTTCAATTTCTATTTTGCCCTCTGGTTCTAAAATATCAGGGCAGTTTTCCTTGATAATTTCTTGAAAGATGATGTCTAGGCTCTTTTTTTGATCATGGCTTTCAGATGGTCCAATAATTTTTAAATTCTCTCTCTGGATCTATTTTCCAGGTCAGTTGTTTTTCCAATGAGATATTTCACATTTTTCTAATTTTTCATTCTTTTGGATTTGTTTTACAGTGTCTTGATTTCTCATAAAGTCACTAGCTTCCAATTGCTCTATTCTAATTTTTAAGGAAGTATTTTCTTCAGTAATCTTTTGGACTTCCTTTTCCATTTGGCCAATTTTTCTTTTTAGGGCATTTTCTCCTCATTGGCTTTTTGGACCTCTTTTGCCATTTGGGTTAGGCTATTTTTTAAGGTGTTATTTTCTTCAGTATTTTTTTGGGTCTCCTTTAGCAAGCTGTTGACTTGTTTTTCATGATTTTCTTGCATCACTCTCATTTCTTTTCCCATTTCTCTTCCTCTGCTTCTCATACTTGCTTCTCAAAATTCCTTTTGAGCTCTTCCAAGGCCTGGGACTGATTCACAATTTTCTTGGAGGCTTTGGATGTAGGAGGTTTGACTTTGTTGTCTTCTTCTGGTTGTATGTTTTGATGTTCTTTGTCACCAAAGTAAGATAATATGGTCTGACTCTTTTTGCGAGGTTTGCTCATGATCCCAGCCAGTTACTTGAGTTTTAAACTCCTTGTTAAGGTAAGAGTCTGCTTCCAATGTGGAGAGTGTACTGTCCCAAGCTTCAGGGGTTTGTATAGCTGTTTTCAGAGATACTTGTAGGGACCTGTAAATTTTTCAGTTCTTCCAAGGTGGTATGATAAGGGGCGAGGTGTTTACTTCTTTCCTGGCCTGTGCTGTGGTCTGTTGGTGACCACAAGCACTCCTTTCTGTCCTGGAACTATGAGGAGGGTTTCCTCTTTACAGCCACTACAGGCCCCACCACACCAGCGCTCCTCCTCACCCCAGGATGGCACCTAGAACTGTGAACGAGATCCAGGCACGGGCAAAGCAAAAGAATCCTGCACCAGCAGAGAGATCCTTGTAATCCCCCTCTGATCAGCCACCAGATTCCCCCTCAGTCTATGGGCCGGAAGTTCAGGAGGCAGCTGTCTCCCCGCGGGCCACGCTCTCTCGGGAACTGAGGCCTAGCCCTAGCTCCTCTTTCACCAAAGAAACAGACTTCTCCCACTGACCTTCTAAGTTGTCTTTGGCGTTCGTGGATTGAGAAGTCTGGAAACCACCACGGCTGCCCGAGATTCAGTCCTCTGAGGCCTGCTCCAGGTTCGCTGTGGCCTGCGCACCCACGCCAAACTGTGCTCCTCTCCCAGCCTGGCGTGATATACCTTTCTGATAATCATCCAGGTTGTCCTGGGCTAGAAATTTGCCTCACTCTGTCTTCTTGTGGGTTCTGCTGCTTTAGAATTTGTTTAGAGCCATTTTTTTATAGGTATTTGGAGGGGTTTTGGGGAGAGCTCAAGCAAGTCACTGCTTTCACTCTGCCATCTTGGCTCCCCCTTGAACTCGTTTTTTAAAAAAATATTTTGATAATTGCATTTCAGCATAATTGACTTCCTTTGTATGTAATTTGTTTTATGCATTTAAAACATGATTCTGCGAAGGAGTCCATTGGCTTCTCCATGAGACTGCCAAGGAGTCCATGACATAAACAATGTTAAGAGCGCCTGCACTAGAGGGAGCTCCCAGTGCTACCTGGAGGAGGGGGATTCTTTAATCAAGTGCTGCAGGCGGGGGGCATTGACTCTGTCTTTTTCAGAATTTCTGATGAATGATTCTGATGAAGTCTGAGTTGTCCTGCTTTTAGGTTTGCAAATCTGAAATCCCAGAGCTACCAGGAGGGACAGCTAAAACCTAGGGTGACAGGATTCAGAAAAGGTCACACAGGCTGAAATGATGGTTGAGCAAAAATGAAGAAGTTCATGCGGATCAACTTAAAGGCCTCTATTTCCAGTCAAACCAGTTGCCCCAGTACAAAGTGGGGGAGGTGCGGCTGCCCGGCAGCATCCGTGGGAAAGACAAGGAGGTTCCCGTTGACTGCTCTGTATGGTGAGCACAGTCTTCAGTGTCCCTGTAGAGGCCGTGTAGTTTTCTTGTGCTCCGCCCTGGCCAGTATCGTGTTAGGATTAGCTTTGGGCCCTACATTCTGAGAGGTAGAGTCACTGACTAAAGCGTGCCTGGAGGAGAGCCACCAGCCTGGAGAGGGACCTGGAGACCGGGTCACAAGAGGGCTCAGTAAAGGCACTGAGGATGCTGAGCCTGGAGAGGAAGAGACTTGATGGGGAAGGGGTGCAAAAGCCTCAGCCCAGCTAGGAAGTGGTGGAAGCAGATGTGGACCCAGATCCTCTGATTCTGAAGCCAAGGTTCTTTCTACGGCTTTGATTTACATCCCATCAATGGAACCAAAAGCCGTCTTATAGGCTCTTTTACAGCAAGGTGTCAACTGCCCATCTGTCAGGATCATTAAGGATCCCTTGGAAGATAGAACAGCAGAAATGATCCTGTTCGCTTGGCCCTCTGACAAAGCGTAAGACAGGTTGATGTATGCCTGCCAACAGTATCAGCCGCTGTGACGGAGGAGGCCCAGAGTAGAGACCTGCTCTGATGCCTTAGGTTCTTTGTGGATGGTGAGTCCGCTGCTATTATTTATGGATGATGTTATGCTGGTTACATCAAACCCCAAGACACTGCAGAGCATCCTGCAAGAAGTCTGTGCTCACTCCAAGGAGATGCCCAGACCATGCACACAAGAAAGATCAGATGGATGAGGACATCTGTTGACCAGATTCAACATGCAGCTAAATGGACGCCCTGTGGACCTTATCCAACGTACATACATCCGGGGCAGATGGACAGTGAGCTGGGCCTAGAGCAGAAAAAGAGGAGGAGAGTGGACTGGATCACCTTCAGGAGACTGCAGAGCTCTTTGACTGACCCCACAGCCACAAAGGCCCATGTTGTCACTACAAGCATTTGCTGGTGTTGCTATGTGGCAGACAGTCCTGGGACAGACATGCCATGGCCTCTGAAGAACTAGAGATAAGAATCACATAGAGAGTGACGGAAAAGTGAGTGGTGGGTATGAGCAGGCTACAACCTGTGGCCAGTGAGGAATGCTAGAGAGGAGTGGGAGAGAGGGATGCCACAGGAGGACTGTATGGCAGAGAGAAGATGGGCTGGCCGTGTGGCAGCATCGAAGGATGGAGGAGGATGACCAGAGTCTGCCTTCATGGGGCAGGGGGGAGGGGCAAGAGTGGGTGCAGGTAGCAAGAGAGATGGGGATACAAAAAAGAGGATGAGTAGAAAGGTGTCCCCAACATATTTAAAATATAGAGAAGGAAAGGAGGGATGAGAGGGGACCCAGACAAGGAGGGCAGTGTTGGTACTACCAAAGTAAATTTAATGTGTATTAAAAGGAACCAGCTGTATGTAGTATTTTCTGGTCTTTGTTTATCAAAATGTTTGCATTTCTTGATAATTTTCTAGTTCATAATGAACAGTTTTCCCACTTAAATAAGTTTTATTTTTTCTAGTTACATGTAAAGATCGTTTTCAACATTAATTTTTTATAAGATTTTGAGTTCCTAATTCCTCCCCCCCGCCAAGATATAGGTCGAACATGTACAATCATGTTAAACATATTTCCACACATAATAAACAGTTTTTTAAAAAATCACAGTAATCCGTAGACACCTGGACAGTGGGGATAGTAAAGTCAACAAGTATTTTTTTTTAATCTTCATTTTGAGTCCAAATTCTCTCCTTCCTGCACCCTCCCTCACCCATTGAGAAGGCAAGGAATCTGATTCCCATTATACATAAGAAGTCATGCAAAATATATTTTCACATTAGCCATGCTGTGAAAAAAGAAAGAAAGAAAATATTCTTCAGTGTGCACTCAGAATCCATCAGTTCTTTCTGGAAGTGGATGGCATTTTTCATCCTAAGTCCTTTGGAATTGTCTGGGCTCCTTGTATTGCTGAGAATAGTTAAGTTATTCACAGTTGATCATTGTACAATATGACTGTTATTGTGTATAATGTTCTCCTAGTTCTGCTCACATCACTTTGCATCAGTTCATGTAAGTCTTCCCAGGTTTTTCTGAAACCACCCTCCTTGTCATTTATTATAGCACAGTCGTATTCCATTTCAATCATATACCACAACCTGTTCAGTCACTCCCCAGAGAATGGGCATCCTCTCGGTTTCCAAATCTTTACCACCACAAAAAGAGCTGCTATGAATATTTTTGTACCCACAGGACCTTTTTCCACTTCTTTGTTCTCTTTGGGATTCAGACCTAGTAGTGGTATTGCTGGATCAGAAGGTATGCAGTTTTATAGCCCTTTGGGCATAGTTCCAAATTGCTCTCCAGAATGGTTGGACCACTTCACAAGTCCACCAACAGTGCATAAGTGTCCCAATTTTCTCACATCCCCTCCCACAGTCATCATTTTTCTTTTCTGTCATAATAGCCAATCTGATAGGTGTGAGGTGGTACCTCAGGGTGGTTTTAATTTGCATTTTTCTGATCAGTAATGACTTAGAACATTTTTTCATATGACTCTAGATAGCGTTGATATCTTCTTCTGCAACCTTGCCTCTTCATATCCTTTCACCATTTATCTATTGGGGAATGGCTCTTATTTTTGTAAATTTGGTTTAGTTCTCTAAATATTTTAGAAATGAGACCTTTGCCAGAGAAACTTGGACTAAAAAAAAATTCCCCCCCAGTTTCCTACTTTCCTTCTAATTTTGGCTGCTTTGGTTTTGTTTGCACAAAACCTTTTTAATTTAAAGTAATCCAAGTGATCCATTTCACTTCCTGTGATCCTCCCTGTCTCGTTTGGTCACAGATTCTTCCCCTGTCCATTAATCTAACAGGTGATTTCTCACATGCTCCTCTAATTTGCTCATCGTACCACCCTTTATGTTTACATCATGTGCCCATTTCGACCTTATCTTGGTGTACAATGTTAAAGCACCTACTGTGTGTCACCTGCCCTGTTGCTGTACTTGCCTTCTTCTCCTGATAGAAGATGTGAAGGAAGGACGCTTTGGTGTGGTTCCTTCAGTTGTTAAAACGGTGTGGAACTAACTAATGCAGAATCTTTGTTTTATTTTGTTTTGAAATAAAACTAATCACAGTAACATATAGCTCTACTTGCTGGACTGTTTGTGTTTCCATCCTAAGAGAGGAAAACAGCCAGTCAGCCAGACAGCCTTTATTAAGCTCCTACTGTGTGCCAGCCCCTGTGCCCAGTGCTTGGTTGGGATCCTACTCACAAGGACCTCAGTCCAAAGGGGAGGTGATGTGCAGACGAGTCCGTTCAAACCACAGCGTTAGTCAAAGCTTCTGGCAGAGGGAGAGGCTTTGTGCTCTAGATGTGATTTTGCTGGTCTAGGGACCTCTCAGTGTCGAGCCCCCCCCTGCCCAGTGTAGATTATCAGCTCCTCTGTAAGAGTCTTAGGGAGTTGCCTGGCACGCTGAAAGGGTTAAGGGGACCGTCCAGGACTGCTGAGTGTGTGTGTGTCAGAGGCAGGCCTACACGGGCCTTTGGAGTCCAAGGCCAGCCCATTATTCACCATCCCATGCTGCCTTTTGACATTTCACTCTGATAATCCTCTGTCTCTGTGCGGTCAGGAGGAATGTGGTAGAGGTGAAAAGCACAGATTGGACTTTATTTGGAATGTCCATGTGGGTGGGTTTCTGCCCATCAATCTGAGTGTGACTTGTCTTATAATTGGCCCAAGCACTGAGCGTGTGGGACTGTCTTCTTTCCCATCTTTTAGACCGATGATGAAGATGAGCCCTTTGTTCTGGAGGATCCCACTCTGTTAAATATTGACACTTTTGACACCCACTCCTATGACACGTCATCAGTGGCAAGCTCAGACAGTGGTGACCGAACCAATCTGAAAAGGTAAGGAGGCAGCTAGGCGAGTGCGGCAGATGGTGGAAATATTTGCTTATTTTAAAGTTCTGTATGGTGTCATTGACAATCTCCAGGCTTGTGTGTCATATAGGAAGCAGAAGGCAGACTTGATGGGAAGTAATAGGCCAGTTGGGCTTTAAGGGTCTTGGAGACGGTTGAGGATTGGGGGCACGCATGAGGGCGGTAACCAAGGAGCCCCCTCCCTCCCCCAGCAGGAAGGCACTCAGGCAGCCAGAGAGAGGCTAGCCCAGCACCCTGTTATGGGAAAGAGAAGTTGGGCCTTGTTTGCCCCACTTTTGCCCCACTCCTTCCTTCCTGCCTTAAAGTCAGCCCCAGCCCCGGCATTCCTGTATTCCCTCGGAGAGGGTTCAGAGGAGAAGCCCGAAGATGATTAAAGGGATGGAAAGGGGACCTTTGACCCTAAATAACTTCATTTTGACTGTTTTTTTCTTTCCAAAATTCCTGGGAAGGACATGAAAAGAATAGGGAAGTGGAGAAAGCCTGATGCACATAATTTATTGAATTCATGTGCATTCTCCAGGTTGGTGCAGATGTCTGGACGTCTGTAACTTTTTAAATGTCTTGGCCATGACAGTTCTGTAGCTCTTAGGTGCTGCTCCTGTAGGACACGGACCAGGGCTGACTGTCTTAGGCCTTTCTGCCTTCTGTGCCCCTTGATGCTTAATAAACCCTTTTTTAGTGCCGATGAGAGAGGGAGGGAGCAAAACAGAAGAGGAAATGAGAGCGAGTCTGGGAAGGTAATTCTCTGAAACTTAAATGGAGGAGCAAGCTGCTAGGCTCGTACACCTAGGCCACCCATCCTTCCAGAAGCTGACCACAGAGGCTGCACCCCACCTGGGCACTGTCCCTAAAATGGCCTGAAGAATGAGGAGAACCAGAAGTTGTGGTGGGAGGAGGTGGGGCAGTGGGGGGCGAGGAGGAAGGGCAACGTTTCATAGTCAGCATTCCGGCGGGTAATGGTGTTGTGGGAGGAGGGTAGGTCTTCATCTTTGTCAGGCACCATCAAAGAATGCAGACCACTTATTCTGCTGCCTGGTCTCCCCCTAGGATGAGGTGGGCTGCCGAGGTGGCCTGGGAAGCATCTTAATGGGCTGAAGAATTCTGGGACTGAACTAGCAAATGACATGCTGCAGTCAGTCAAAATTTCTGCCTAATTTTGGTCTTAGATGTCTCAGTTTGCTCCTTTCAAAGCTGCCAGGCTTGGCCTTTCAAGTTTTAGTCATCTAATTTTTTGTTCTTTTTAGGAAGAAGAAACTTCTTGACTCTTTTTCAGTCCATGGCTCAGTCATGCGGCATTCGCTTCTGAAGGGAATCTCAGCCCAGATTGTCTCGGCAGCTGTAAGTGCGGGGTCTTCTTCCCCTGGTTCTGGGGCCGACGCCACCCAGGGAAATGAGGAGAGCAGAACCCTGGGCATAGTGCCCTCTTTGGCTGCAGGCTTATGGGAAAGGCCTAGCCTGAGTGATTTGGTGTACCTGTATTTGAAGTGCACAGGGAGTTAGTGTGGTCACAAGGGGCAAAGTGTCTGCTCAGTACCCAGTGAAGGGAGGGTAGGCTGACGGAAGCAAGCCAAAATAAGAGAGGGAGGCAGGCAGGCAGAAAACCAGCCTCTGAGCTAGGAAGTATTCAGTTCAAATCCTGGCTGTTTGACTGTTTACTTCCCAAGGTTCTTGACTTGCCTTGGTAGAGGCAGCCCCCCACACTCAGGAGACCATACCTCTGACCCTAGTGCCTTTCTTCATTTTTCATTTGTTAGCTCAGCTGCCCCAGGAGCATCCATGGGAGGGAGGCCATTACCTACCAAGACATGGGCATTCACTTGGTCTGTTCATGTAGGCAAATGAAACCCAGTTCAGCTTTATGAACTGGAGAGGATTGGAATAGTGTTTAAATACAGGATCTGGAAGGCTGAGGCCAAGTGGAAATCATCCCTTGCAAAAGAAAATAGAGACTCAATATATTTTACTCAAGGTCAACTAGGTGATGCCATAGTGCACAGAGCGCTGGGCCTGGAGACAGGAAGACTCATCTTCCTGAGTTCAAATCTGGCCTCAGACACTTACCAGCTGTGTGACCCTGGACAAGTCACTTAATCCTGTTTGTCTCAGTTTCCCCATCTGTAAAATGAGCTGGAGAAGGAAATGGCAAACCAGTCCAGTGTCTTTGCCAAGAAAACCCTAAATGAGGGCACAAAGAGTTAGAGACAACTAAAACAACTGAAATCAATATTTTACCTAAACTTTTTTTTGCCCATTTCACAAGAACGCTTCTGACATCAGAGCCCTAAGCTGCCATGCCCAGGAGCAGACATCGTGGCACGGTAAAGATTGGATTCAGAGCCATAGAGTCAGAGCTTTGCCAGTTGCTGTCTTTCTGTCCCCAGGCGAGGCACTTCTTCTCTTGGACTCAGTTTTCTTATCTGGAAAAGTGAAGGTGTTGTGGTGTCTGTCCCCTGAGGTTCTTTGGGGGTCTGTGGTCCATGTAGCTTGATTTCCCCAGCTTTCTACTCATTATTTATATATATTTTTTAAATCCTGGCAGACTTTTGAGATGCTAACTTAGATTTGGGTGCCACTTTTTCAGAGTATAATAGCTGTTTTGCCTTTGTATTTGGGCTAGAAAGAAATGCTTTGCTTTTTTGGAGACGATGCAAAGTTGATACGGGATTGGAATGATCTGAGGACGCCTTAAAAGCATCCTGTGTTGGAGTTTTCCCAAAGAAGCATCTTGTAGCAGATGGCTGATGTCTGGAGCATCCCTCCGGCATGGGCACAGATTGCAGTCAAGGCATGCGCTGTGCTGCTGCTGAACCATTTTGTGGACAAATGGAGCCAGTTTAGAGGGAGATGGACAGATGATGGAGGGAGCTTGGGCAGTTGCCACTCTCTGCCTCTAGATAGGACTCAGTCCTCTTTGCTCAATGGGAACCACCTGTTGGGGGATCACGTTTCCATGACGCTTTCTGAATCTAATCCTCATGTAGGTGATGAAACCCATTCTCCCTTAAATTAAGACAAACCAGAGCAATCATTTGACCCACCTGTTCAGTTTAAAAATATTTTGAATAATTGAGATGGGCTGAAAATCCAGGCCTTGAATAATGATGAGCTAAATCTGTTGCTTTAATGAAGCTTCTTTTTTCTCAGGCAGAAGGGCTGGAGTCCTAATAGCTCCCAGCAGGTTTGCTTCCCTTGTTCTTCCAGAATGATGGCAGGGTTTCTGTGGTCCACTCACGTGGACGCTGCTTCCAGTGGGCCAGGGCTGTCATTCTGTGTCCTCCTAATCTCTAGCTACCAGCTGGGTCTCTGATCTCTTGGCCTCTGGAATGATCGATTTACTGATATCATCACACAATTGCTGAGTTTCAGAGGTGGGCTGGGCATCTACTCATATCCACGCTCGTGAAGGGAGCCCCGTGACAGCGTACTCTACAAGTGGCTAGCCGTCCTTTGACGGAGGAAAGACCCTGATAGGGGCGACCTCCCTCCCGCTCCCCAGCTGGCCCTTTTCCCTTTGGACAAGCTCAATTGTTGCTCATTTTTCCTCAGTCTGAATCTTCCACCCTTCGCTCCTACATCTTCATTTTGGGGCCGAACAAAAAGCACTTAGCCATTCTTCCAGATGATGACCTTTTAGATAGTTAGAGCTGGCTGCCACGTTCCCCTGACCTTCTTCTGCCTGTCCCCATGTGCCATGACCACGAGGTCCCTCACCTTCCTACTTGCCCTCTTCTGGGCTCACTCTGGTTTATGGATGGGTTTTCTAAACCGGCGCTTCTTAACTTTTTCCACTTGTGACCCCCTTCAGTGCTTCTTAAATTGTGGGTCACAACCCCATTTGAGGTTAACAAGCGCTGTTCTAAACTGTGGTTCCCCAAACTGAACCTAGAACTTCAGATGTGATGTGACTAGGACTGAATACGGAGCGACTGTCACCTCCTTATTTAAGGAAATGATGCTTTTCTTCATGCAGTCCAAGGTTGTATTAGCTTTTTAGGCTGCAATCGTATTAAGCTCGGGGCCCATTAAAACCCTCAGATTGCTTTCGGGTGAGCAGCTGTTTAACCGTGACTTTCCTATCTAGTGTTTCTGAAGCTGATTTCTTGAACCCAAGTGTAAGACTCACCTTGGATTGTGTTCAGGTTTATCTTTTTGTCCCAGTGTTTGAGCTTGTCAAAGTCTTCATTTGGATTCTGACTCTCTCATCCAGAGCATTAGTTATTCCTCTCAGTTTTATGTCTTCTGTATTTGATAAAGACATAATCCACGCATTCGTCCGAGTCCTTGATTAAATTGCTTAATGGCATTTGGCTAAGCACAGATCCCTGGGGGCCCTTCACCGGAGACCTTTGCCCAAGGTGCCATCGAGCAGGTGATAATGGTGTCTCTTTGGGCCCAGCCATTCACCCACGTCTGCACTCGCAGCTCGTGCCTTTGGTCTCCCACTCTCGAGAACAGCATGAAGGGTTTGCCCAGAACGTGCTAAACTCTGGCTCGTTCTCCTGACCTGAGAGGTGAGTAACCCTGTCACAGAAGTTCATGAGGTTCGTCTCACGTGACCTGGCTTTGTGGAGCCCAGGCCAGCTCTGGGGTCACTGCCTCCTCTCCTAAATGTCCCCTTCTTCATGTCTTCGATAAGGCATTCTAAAACTACATTCTAGCATTTTGCTGGGAATTGTTGGACTCGAGCTCGTCAGCCTCTTGTTTGTGCGCTGCTTTCTTTCTGCTTTTGAAAATCAGTGCCGCAGGAGCAGCACGCGTGTTATTGGCATCGTTGCAGAGGGCTGCTCAGTTTGCCTGAACCGCTTTTTCCCTCTTTGTTACGGAGGATGGCTCCCCAGACAGGGCAGGGAGAAGGGATATGTTCAGAAGTGAAGGTGATCTTTTAAAATGTATGTGAGTAAGAGTTTTGTGATAAAAGAGAAAATCAGAGCCCTCTTTGCCCTTCTGCAGGCCTGCCAGGCGGCTCCGTGTGGCGTGATTTTCCGTCATCACTGATGGCCATTTAAGACCCTGGGAGGAGGCTCCCATGAGCTGGGGATTTTGGCTCCTGGAGGGCTGCTGGGGGCTGCTTTCCTCTTCTCGTTCCAGTCTCAGTTCTCTGCCATTTTTGTTCCTTCTGTTCTGGTCCCATAAAGAACAGTTCAGTTTCCTCTCCACATTCGTTGTCTCCTCCACGTTGAAAAGCATTCCTGTGACTTATTTGAGCCTTCTTTCCCCAGGACAGCTGCATAACACATAAGGGACATTGCATTCCTTTTCCTTTGGTGGACCATGGCGTAAGGTAGTGGTTTCAACCATGCTTATAGTCATGAAATTACCCATCGCCTGGGAGAGCTGCAATGGAAGACGTGTGGGTGTGGTAGCATTCTTGTTTTGTTCTAGTGAACTTCACTCTTTGGGGTTTTGTGAGTACTGTGTTTGTTTGATATAGGGAGTATGTGGATATATTTGAGTGAATTCATATTGTGTTCACTGACGGGGTCGTGAGTGGAAAAAGTTTACGAAGCCCTGATTTAGAGAACCCTTTTATTGTGTAATGTCTTGGGAGATTCTAAAAGACCCAGCCTAGTTACTGGGCTGGAGCTCTTGGAGAGCCTGGAGCGTCTCCCTCTGGGCTCCCGTAACTCCTGAGCCAAGCTGCCTTCTGATTTCTCGATTGGGACCTCCTTAAGTTCTGAGGTTTGTCTAACGTGACCTGGCTTTATTGAGCCTGTGGCGGCTCTGGGACCGCTGCCTCCCTTCTTCGCCCTGTGCCTCATTCTTCCCATGTCAGCCAAAGACGTGAAAGAGGCACTAGCCTTAGCATAGTGGGCTGGGTGCCCCTGCCCCCAGCCTAATGCCAGAGGGAGGCTGGTGAAGAGAGCCCAGAGCTGACTGGAAGTCAAAGGCTCGCATTCAGAACCCACCTGGTAAACAGCAACCTTGCAACCATGTGTCTGAGCGAATTACTTACTCCCTCTCAGCCCGAGTTTCCTCACCTGAAAGATGGGGATGATAACATCTGTATCCCTCCCACTGGTTTGGAAGCCCAAGTGAGATGCTGGATGCAAAGTGCTTTGCAGACCCTTGGGCACCGATAGAAATGCCAGCCATCATCATTGCCCATGGTGGTCCTTTAGTGTTGGGTTCCACTTGGCCTTGGAGGGCAGAGCTTAGGCTGGGGTGAGGCAGAAGCTGCAGAGGACACTTGAGGCTTAATGTAAGGAACAACTTGCTAAGCGTTCAGCATGTTCAGGAGAGTGGACCACTTTGAAAGGGGGTGGATTTCAGCTTTGAAGATCTTCAAACCAAAGCGGGGTAACAACTTGTGGAGTAGGTTTTAGGGAGGGTTCTTTTTC